GTACGGACACGGAACGCTTTCCTCAGCAGGTAAACCCTGAAATGTTTCAAGAAGTGAACCAACGCGAGCAACTCCCTGCTAGTCGTGCTACATCTCCGTGCACAACTTGTTAGCGTACGACTGACATAAGATATAACTTCCCCCCCTGTGGTGTTTGCTGAGACAAAACAGCTCCTATAGCTGATTCACTGGCATCCGTATCCAAGATGAAAGAGCCCGCCGATTGATTGGCGTCTGGCAACCCCAGTATGGATGGTGACGTCAGCTTGGTTTTCAGTGTTTTAAAAGCCCTCTCACATCCCTCCGTCCATGCAGACCTTTGCCCTTTTTCCGTTAGTCGTTGAATCGGAGCAGCGATGCGGGCGAAATCTCTGACGAACCGGCGATAGTACGATGCCAATCCTAGGAAACTACGAACCTGTTCAGTCGATTTTGGTGTAGGCCACGATGAGATTGCATTTCGCTGGGTCCGTCTGTACCCCCTCAGGCATGATTATGTCACAAAGAAAGGTAAACTTCCTACGCATAAAATTGCACTTCGCGCCTCTGAGCTTCAATCCCGCGTCCCTCATTCTCCTCAACACATTTTCAAGGTGTTTGTTATGCTCTTCTCCTGTCCGACCGTGGATAATTATATCGTCCAGATATACTAAACAGTTGCTCGGTGCCAGTCAGTGGAGAACGTGTTGCATCAGACGTTGAAATGTAGCTGGTGCGTTAGGGTGATGGCGTGGCATCCCAACTATTAGGGTTTCTACAAACGATCGATTTTTAAATGTATTTTAGAAAAAGCGATGACGAATTCAGCCGACGTGGAACAGATTTTGCTTTTGGCTGATTCTGAGTGATTTGGTAAAAGTTAATTTATTCTAAATAATCTTAATTGACTTTGTCCAGAAAGTATAAATACCACAACCTAATTCCGACAATCACTTTGACGCTCGTACCGACGAAACAATCGTTCTTGAACGGATGGTAAAAAATTGTTGTGGATCGCTGGACGGATTCTTGGAGGACATCCGTGAATTCCAAACAGTTACTTGCACTTCCTTCTACTTTTATGCGTCAATGACAGGCAAACAACTGATACGGGAAAGAAAGTTTGGTCGGAAACTGACTCTGCCTGAGGGTTTTACGTACTATTTCATCAAATATTGCTGTGTACATCATAGAAAGCGCGGAGAAACTGCAACCAGGTAATTATGCCTCTCATTTCTAATGTATTTAACCCATTTTAGGCTGCAAAATATTCATTGTCCGGAATTCGTTGGAATTCGCGCGGTCGGGATTACTGAGTGATGAAACGTTTTTTGGTGCACAACCATTACTTCCATGTGGGTCAGCGGGGTCTGTATTTATGAATCGTCGTCTACCTGGAGAACAGGAAGAGGAAGTATGTACTTTGATGGACAATTTTAGANAGCTAAGGGATTTCGCCACAAACAGGTTCTAGAGACCCTTAACTACGGCAGATATAAGATCTTTACGTCAAAGAAGGTCTCAGTTGGATTCGCGTGGCGATGCGAGGAAAGTTAGGAATATGCTGAAGAATCAGGGAGAGATTAGGATAGGGCTAAGCGAAGGCGTCTTTTGTCACGTTTATTTTGTTCCTAAGATTATATTGCACTGCGTCGCCAGGTTTAATGATGTTTTGTTAGCGGACGCCACACATCAGCTAAACAG